CTGACACTGCTCCCTCGCATGCTGTTTAGTGACGCATGGGGCCGGAGTGATGTCACATTCTGGCTCCCGGGATCACTGCAGAGGGCATGCGAGGGAGCAGTGTGAGGATCTAGAAGATTAGTGCTCCCTCACCGCCACCACCACATTTTGCTTCCTTCCCCCTGTATATTTCAGCAGTAGAAGTGCCTGCTCCTCACAGTACCCCAACCAGCCACATAGTCTGCCCCCCCCCCCCCGTAGTTATGCTACTGAGACTCAGGTATATCTTATATCAGGGGGGCCTCCCCAGATGTTCTAAAATGACTGCTTCTATAATGCTTTGTCATTCTAAAGGCATGCTAAAGGCTTGCAAAGCATCATGGGAGTTGTAGTTTTTCAACATCTGGAGATCTACCTTTTTGTAGTCACAGAAGAAAGAAAAAGTTGCAGGCTCAAAGGCTTAGATATACAAATTTATTGGAACTATAGTGTCCAGCAGCAACAGTCTTTTTCAAGCACTTTTGGGCCTTTGTGCTACCTCTTGGACCTTGGTGCTGGCCCCAGGTTTGGTTGCACCCAGGCTTTTATCTATAGATTGAGTGCAGTTTCTTGTTTTTTGGTTTATACGGGTATATCTTAGTGTCTTTAGCGCATACTGTGGGATTTTAAAGGAAAAACACTGAATAAAACATTAAAACTCGCCTATAACATGGGTTACTTTTTTCATGTGATGATTCATTTTCTTTTAAAACTGTGTTAAACGATTCAGCAGATGTCATCATAGTCCAAGCACAGACACGGCAAACACTGCTGGCAATGTGGGGAGGGGACGAAACATTGTTTGGTTTCTCCTTTTCTCTGTCTGCTCTCCCTATACTGACTGCTAGGTTAAAGGACAGAGCGTATAACGAAGACTGACAGGGAGCTAAGATGGAGGCGCCCAGTTACAGGATAAAGAGACAGAATTTATACATGTATTATTATTTTTCACACATCACAAATACGTAATGGGTAAATAGACAAAATTAGGGAAAACAAACAGTGCCAGTTCCCCTTTAAGCTGTACACCCATCTGTAGCATAGCATGCGGGAGAAGTGCTGATAAAACACTCAGTTGGTCAGTGACTTGTGACTGTCTGTGTGTGACAAGACCCATGATCACAGCAGCAGTCACAAAACCACAAGAATGTCTCAATGCACCCAAATTCACATATTCTTTTCCACATATACAGGCCTCAACTTAATATTGTTGAAAATGTGTTTCTTATGGTTTCGTATTTTTGGATACACTTTTAAAATTATTTTAACGTTATTTAAAAAATATTAAAATGTTGTCATATTTTGATAGGTTTTTGCGAAATGTATATATTTTTTTATATTTGATTCCTGTGAGGGTTAATATTGTTACGAGTGTAGTTGTGAGTGTGAGTATTGCTGGGAGTATGAGTATTGCTATGAGTGAGAATTGCTGTGAGTGTGAGTATTGTTATGAATGAGACTGCTGTGAGGGTTAGTATTGCTATGTGAGTGTGAGTATTGCTATGAGTGTGAGTATTGCTTTGAGTGTCAGCATTGCTATGAGTGTGATTGCTGTGAGGGTTAGTATTGTTACAAGTGTATTGTTACAAGTGTATTGTTACAAGTGTAGCTATGAGTGTGAGTATTGCTATGAGTGAGTGTGAGTATTGTTATGAATGTGATTGATGTGAGGGTTAGTATTGCTATGAGTATAACTGTGAGTGTGAGTATTGCTATGAGTGTGATTCCTGTGAGGGTTAATATTGTTACAAGTGTAGTTGTGAGTGTGAGTATTGCTATGAGTGTGAGTATTGTTACGAGTGTAGCTGTCTGTGAATATTGCTGTGAGTGTGAGTATTGCTATGAGTGTGATTGCTGTGAGGGTTAATATTGCTATAAGTGTAGCTGTGAGTGTTGCTATGAATGTGAGTATTGTTACGAGTGTATCTGTCTGTGAGTGTTGTTGGGAGTGTAAGTGTTGCTATGAGTGTAGCTGTCTGCCTGTGAGTGTGAGTAGTGCTGCCTGTAGCTGCCTGTGAGTACTGTAAGTGTAGCTGCCTGTGAGTGCTGTGAGTGTGAGTATTGCTGACTGTAGTTGCCTGTGAGCGCTGTGAGTGTAGCTGTCTGTGAGTGCTGTGAATGTGAGTATTGCTGACTGTAGCTGCCTGTGAGTGCTGTGAGTGTAGCTGTCTGTGAGTGCTGCTGTGAGTGAGTGTTGCTGATTGTGAGTGCTGTGAGTGTTGCTGTGAGTGTGGCTGCCTGTGAGTGCTGCTGTGAGTGTTGCTGTGAGTGTAGCTGCCTGTGAGTGCTACTGTGAGTGTGTTGCTGTGAGTGTAGCTGCCTGTGAGTGCTGCTTTGAGTGAGTGTTGCTGATTGTGAGTGCTGTGAATGTAGCTGCCTGTGAGTGCTGCTGTGAGTGAGTGTTGCTTTGAGTGTAGCTGCCTGTGAGTGCTGCTTTGAGTGTAGCTGCCTGTGAGTGCTGCTGTGAGTGAGTTGCTGTGAGTGTAGCTGTGAGTGAGTGTTACTGCTTGTGAGTGCTGTGAGTGTAGCTGCCTGTGAGTGCTGTGAGTGTTGCTGTGAGTGAGTGTTGCTGTGAGTGTAGCTGCCTGTGAGTGCTGTGAGTGAGTGTAGCTGGGAGTGTAGCTGCCTGTGAGTGCTGTGAGTGAGTGTAGCTGGGAGTGTAGCTGCATGTGAGTGCAGCTGCCTGTTAGTGCTGTGAGTGAGTGTAGCTGGGAGTGTAGCTGTCTGTGAGTGCTGTGAGTGTTGCTGTGAATGTAGCTGAATGTGAGTGCTGTGAGTGAGTGTTGCTGTGAGTGTAGCTGCCTGTGAGTGTTGTGAGTGAGTGTTGCTGCCTGTGAGTGCTGTGAGTGAGTGTAGCTGGGAGTGTAGCTGTCTGTGAGTGCTGTGAGTGCTGCTGTGAATGTAGCTGAATGTGAGTGCTGTGAGTGTTGCTGTGAGTGTAGCTGCCTGTGAGTGTTGTGAGTGAGTGTTGCTGCCTGTGAGTGCTGTGAGTGAGTGTAGCTGCCTGTGAGTGCTGTGAGTGAGTGTAGCTGGGAGTGTAGCTGCCTGTGAGTGTTGTGAGTGTAGCTGCCTGTGAGTGCTGTGAGTGAGTGTAGCTGCCTGTGAGTGCTGTGAGTGAGTGTGCAGTATCTGAGTTCAGAATGTTCCCAATTCTACAGAAGATACAAATGAACAGGAATGAGCTCTGGCTGTAAATCACGTGACCCCTCCACCACTGGACCCATCTGACAGATAATGGTATAACCCGCCTTCAGTAATAAGCCCGGGCCGCGCCTTTTATAGACTATGGTTATGTAACATGATGTTTTTATATCCGTTTATTTCAGAGATTTGATATTTGAATGTTTCCCACATTGATTCTGTGTTTCCCCACCCTTCCCATGAATGGTACGTTCCCCCCGGTATATATTGGCTGCTCTGGCTGCTGGTATCTAGTCAGCTGGGCGATCTCACTGCGTTTCATCCCATAACTGATACAGTAACATTGTAACACTGTAACCATGCCACTGTGCGGCGGGCTGGGAGAGGCCATACCTGCCACCCCTGAGATCCAGGAGCTCTGTGACAAGGTGAGGGGGCTGTGCTGGGAGATATGGGGGGCTCTGAGTTATTATGGGGGGCTCTGAGATTATACATAATAATAATAATAATAATAATAATGCTCTGTGTTAATATGGGGGGGGGGGAAGAGATCCAGGCATTCCACTCAGTAATAATGCTCTGTGTTAATATGGGATGGGGCATTAAGTATACAATGCTCTGTGTTAATATGGGGGGGGGGGAAGAGATCCAGGCATTCCACTCAGTAATAATGCTCTGTGTTAATATGGGATGGGGGGGGGCATTACATAATAATGCTCTGTGTTAGGGCTGTGTCCAACAGGCTGTTTCCCTGCTTCCTGTATCCACATACACCTACATCGCCATGGACTGTCAGCATCTGCTTTCCCCTTCTTCCTGCTCCCTCTGACCCAATGTTACCCTCCTGCTCAGTGATGCTGGGGTACCTGGTCTGCTTCCACTGTCTGAACCTGGGGTGCAGGGCCTTCCCCCCCCCCTAATTCTGTGAACCTGGGGTGCAGGGCCTTCCTCCTCCCCCCTGTACCTCTGTGAACCTGGGGGTGCAGGGCCTCTCCCCCCAAATTCTGTGAACCTGGGGTGCAGGGCTGCCTCCCTTCCCCTACCTCAGGAACCTGGGGTGCAGTCTTCTCCCCCCTGGGGCTCCCAGAACCTGGGGTGGTAGGGGCCTTCCCTTCCCTCTGGGCCTCAGAACCCAAGTAGGCCTCTCCCTTCCCCCCTGGGGCCTTGTGAACCTGGGGTGCAGGGCCTCTTCCTCCCTCCCCCAAATTCTGTGAACCTGGGGCAGGGCCTTCCTCCCCTTCCCCCCACCTCTGTGAACCCGGGGGCGGCCTTCCTCCCTCCCCCAAATCTGTGAACCTGGGGGTGCAGGGCCTTCCTCCCCCCCCAAATTCTGTGAACCTGGGGTGCAGGGCCTCCTCCCCCCCAAATCACCCTGTGAACCTGGGGGTGCAGGGCCTCCCTCCCCCCACAAATTCTGTGAACCTGGGGTGCAGGGCCTTCCTTCCCTCCCCCCAAATTCTGTGAACCTGGGGTGCAGGGCCTTCCTTCCCTCCCCCCAAATTCTGTGAACCTGGGGTGCAGGGCCTTCCTCCCCCACCCCTCCCCCCAAATTATGTGAACCTGGGGTGCAGGGCCTGCCTTCCCCCACCCCCCAAATTCTGTGAACCTGGGGTGCCCTGTTGTCCACCACCCTGTATCTAGCCCAGTTCTAGGCTCCCCCATATCTGGAAAGAAATGAGGGCTGTTTTGAGGAATGCAAGCTGGTTTGTGGCTGGCAGACTGGGATCCTGGCTCCTGGTGTGGTGACTAACCTGTCCATGTGACTGTCTGCAGACATGCCAACTGTGACAATGTTTGTCCCCACCCACAACAAAACCATCTGGAACCTGATCCAGGCATCTCTAAAGATTCTGACATGCTGTCTGACAAACTGAGTCATTAAAGGGCTTTGGCCAAAGGTAAATGTAATCCCCATGCAATCACCCAGGCTGTTATCTATGTGATCCTACAAGTGGGGGTCTAAACTGTGGCAGGAATCTACAACTAAAACAAACCCTACAGTAGCTGGCAGGAGGTCCTGACTGTTCACTTCCCCCTAGAAGTGCCCTTCTGTTAACTCCCATGACTGCTGGCTGCAACACAGCACTTTCTAAATTATGGGAACGTGCTAACTAAGGAGCGTTTACCAGGAATGCTGGTAGAATGCATCAACCTCTAGCGTGTTGCCCTAGAATAGGTCCTGTTTTATGGGGAAAACTACTGGGAGTCACAGGAAGACTCTCCCACTATCTCAGAATTTGTGAAGTTTACACCCAAACTAGCAGTCATGTGCTGTCCGATTTTTCTTCTTTGCATCATTTCTGCTCCTTCCTGAACGCAGACATTGAATAATTTGTGTTTGGTTTCTCCAGAGCGGTGCATACGAGTCAGCCTTCTTAAAGGGTTATGGTGTGAGTAGTACCCTGGTCCTATTCTCCCTCAAGCTTTGCGAGGCATGTAGGTAGTTGGTGGCGTGTATAGCAGAAGCTGAATGCCAGTCCTGACAGCCATCTGGCTGAGAATGTCAGCTGACAACTCAAGAGTTGTGGGCTGGCTAATGTGGATTTAAAGGGACACTATAGTCACCTGAACATTTTAGCTTAATGAAGCCGTTTTGGTGTATAGAACATGCCCCTGCAGCCTCACTGCTCAATCCTCTGCCATTTAGGAGTTAAATCTCTTTGTTTATGAACCATAGTCACACCTCCCTGCATGTGACTTGCACAGCCTTCCATAAACACTTCCTGTAAAGAGCCCTATTTAGGCTTTCTTTATTGCAAGTTCTGTTTAATTAAGATTTTCTTATCCCCTGCTATGTTAATGGCTTGCTAGACCCTGCAAGAGCCTCCTGTATGTGATTAAAGTCTCAATTTAGAGATTGTGATACAATTATTTAAGATAAATTAAATCTGTTTGAAAGTGAAACCAGTTTTTTATTTTTTTTTCATGCAGGCTGTCAATCACAGCCAGGGGAGGTGTGGCTAGGGCTGCATAAACAGAAACAAAGTGATTTAACTCCTAAATGACAGTGAATTGAGCAGTGACATTGCAGGGGAATGATCTATACACTATAAAACTGCTTTATTTAGCTAAAGTAATTTAGGTGACTATAGTGTTCCTTTAAACTCTATACTCTCTATACATGCAGCTTTGCATAGTGAAACGCTGCACTGACCACATCAAATCACTGAGGTAGTCATGCTTCTTCGAGTAACCCTTTAGTCTCTCTACTTATCCCCCCTCCCCCCTCCATGTCCCTATGGACTCTCCTCTCCTAGGAATTTATAGCTGACACTCCCAATGAAGTGACAAGTTGCACAGGTGATGTATCTAAACGTTTGTTTCAGTCCCCTCCAGAATGGAACGACCAGTATCTGACTACTTTTAATGGGCTGGTGACACGGCTGCAGTGATTATGGTAGTTGGAGTGCACCTGTAACTAGCGACAAGCTAAACAGAACTTTCAGAATCTGCAATTCTAAACCATCTAATTTTTTTTATAAATTTTTTAAGCTTTTCAATTTTTTTTTTTTTTTTTTATATTTGGGGAAGGGGGATTTTAAAAGTTAACTCAAATCTTGGAACCTTGATCTAATATCTGAGTTTTGCCAAGATCCTCACTGGTTAGAGCAAGCTTTGACTAACCAGCACTTTAGTCAAGGAGTGAAATGTCTGCCACTGAGGGCTAGGCTCTGGAGGGCTACCTGTTGCGCAAATCTGACTATTTTGACAGAATAACCACAACAACTTTGTAGTGGTTCTAGTACCCCTTTATCATACGGCTACCATACCTGGGTGTACACGTCAAGTCTACCTACAATTATTAATGCACTCTTGGTCTCAAATGGGTATTTGTTTCCAATTCGGATATTGCTGTTCCCTGCTTCTCTATGCAATCCATTGTGCTAGTCTACGGTCTCTGCGTCTCCCAGATAAACACCGCTTCATCTTGACACATTGTTAAAAACTTGCCATGGTGACCATGCCTCTAGTCAGGTTTGTACTTGTCCACTTGCTATTCCCCACGATGGGGACTGCCTTGGGGTGACAGATTGATTATGGCTTCATTACTGTAATTATTCTGCTTTCTCCAGGTAAAGGCGCAAGCTGAAGCTAAAAGTGGAAAGAACTTCGGCCAATTTATAGCCGTCTCTTACAAGACCCAAGTTGTTGCTGGAAAAAACCTTTTCATCAAGGTAAGCTTTAAGAATTCCATGTATGATGACAATGGGGTAATCATTATCATTCGATAACTGGTCCAATCACAGCCTTCTAGGACAAACATGGGCTTGTCCAGTTAACTTGAGCGAAAGTTAACGCTTTGTGTCTAATGTGTATTTTTCTTCCTAGCCTATTTAGAGGCCTTAGTTCCTCAGTTTGACATCTAGGCACACTACAGGTGTCTAGCAAACTTTTGATATTTTTCCATGTGAGTATTTAATCTATCCTACATAACGTTCTTCTAAATTCTGTTTGTTTCTATGAGCGTGTCACCCTGATAATGTTAAAATTATCTCCGCCCCTATGGTTTACCAAATTACTAGTTCTGCAGTAAACTGGAACACTGCTGTCTACCCTGTATGTCAAACACTTTGCTCTAGAATCTGCCTCCAAACCCTTCAGGGCACTGCCTTGTTAAATGAGTGTATTGGTGCAGTTGAAACAGTGAGAACTGAACATTTAAAGTTGCTCTGCAATGTCTTTCTAATAATGCCTTTCTTGCTCTCCCTCCAAACATGCAATGTCCCTACTGAATGTCTCCTGTCATCTCTGCAGGTTGATGCGGGTGACAGCTTCCTCCATGTGCGGGTTTATCAAGCCCTTCCTCATACAAATAAGGGGCCAGAGGTCCACAGCGTCCAAATCAAGTCAAAGGATGATGAGATTGACTTTTTCTAATCTCAGTCAACATCTTGCACAATAAAACGAATGTGACTCAAAGCGCCTTAAACTGAGCTACTATTCCAGAGCATGTCGGGCTACAAAATAAAAATCTGGGGGATGGGGGGGGGCTAATGCTTTTTGATACTAATGGTTATTCTGACCTACAATAAATATTAAAAAAAACTAGCCTGTCTCATGTGTCCTATGAAATTTCTTTATGAATGCCAGAAAATATTTAACCCCTTAAGGACACATGGCATGTGTGACATATCATGATTCCCCTTTTATTCCAGAAGTTTGGTCCTTAAGAGGTTAAAGGATCGCTGTTCTAAAATGTCTCAAACACACTGTAGTGGTTATGGTGTAGTAGTCCTTCTTTGTACTGTTTTGATGGGAGAAGCCGGCTGTGATACTGAATGATTCAGGACTGGACACTCTGCTAATAAACTTGGTCCTGTTCCTACAGAGCAGGGTTTCCGAACCCAGTCCTGAGGTACTCCTACCAGTCCAGGATTTATGGATTACCCTGTTGTAGCTAAAGGTGTGGGTTTTTTTTTTTTTTTTCACTAGACACAATTGGGCAATCCCTAAATCCTGGGGTATTTTGAGGACTGGGTTGTGAACCCCTGCTATAGCGCTAACACTAATCTCCTGCTGGATGGCCGTACCTGCAAGACTTTAAGGGTTTTTTATGTTTGGTGTTCTAGGCATGAAGATATTTCATTACTAGTGTAGCCTGTCAGTAGTTGTGGGAGGTCAGCCATACCATATTATACATTATGGTGCCTCGATACATTGTGTATAACGACCCTGGGATTTTTCATGCTTTACTCTCCATGCCACTGTACTAAAAGACTTGGGTGGCAGTTTTTTCTCAATCCAAATTTTGGACGGATCTGCCCAATGCTTTAGTATATGTAGTCTCTGTTTGAGTCTTTCCACCCACAATACTTTCTAGTGGGTAAAGTGTCTGGAAGGTCAAGATTTTAGAAATGGCTACAGCCAGCTGAGAAATGGGGAGGGAGGGGGAAGAGTGTATTCGTTCTCCTGTCGTGGTCTAAATCTGCATTACGGATGTACTGTTAAAAACAAACCTGACTATCTTTAATGGCCATAAATCCAAGTACAAAATATCTTGGAAGTGATGTTTAACAAACTGGAATTTTTTTTTAGAAATGTTATAGATTAACTTGAACTGCCAGCCCCTTCCTATCTTCATTGGGAAGCAGACCTCAAAGAATCACGTCTTATGCAATTTAAGGCAATGCAGATAACTGAGCCCTAGTCCTTATTCATGAAACCTGAGATCATTGGAAAGTACTGGGAATTGCTTCGTTCATAAGCGGAGCTTCTGATTAATGGTAGCTTAAACATGACTGCTCTGTGAAGCAAGAGATGCACTGAAGAGGGGTATTAAAGGGGCACTCAAAGTGCTAAACTTTAAAGGACCACTCTAGGCACCCAGACCACTTTGGCTTAATGAAGTGGTCTGGGTGCCAGGTCCAGCTAGGGTTAACACTTTTTTTTTTTTTTTTTTTTAATATATAAACTTAGCAGTTTCAGAGAAATTAGGTGCAATTGATTTTACTGATGGATTATGGGTAAATTTGGCAACCAAATCTTTAAGCTGCACCCACGTGGGTTTTGTCAAACTGGTGGTCCCTACTTTTCTTATCTTTTAAAAACTAGAACTCATGAAAATAATAAAAATACACTTTGACACAGACCTATATAGAAGCAAATTAGATAAGTCATTTCTGGTAACAGTTTAAGAAGTGAGACTGCAAGGGCATAATCTATCCACCAAAACTGCTTCATAGTTACACGAAAGCAAGACCTTCTAACATCTTTTTGCTGCTGTTACAAAAAAAGGCAAAAATCCTAATTTCAAGCTTTTTCCAATTTTGCAACACACTAAAAAATAAATCCTCCTCGACGACCCCAGATCTCCCCTGGTTCAAGAAGCTGTTAATCCACATATTAAAAATGATTAGATTTGGACATTAGTTGTCCCATTGTCTGAAAGAAGAATGGACGAATAGAAATAACACATGAAAGTAAAACCGAATTGCTTGTTGGACGAAATCTGGTCCGTGCAATTTGTTCTATGCTTGTTCAGCTTATTACAAGGAGGGAGCTACTGACTTGTAATTTTTAAAAATATAAGAAAGCTCCCCGCCACTTCCAAAATCTCCTCTATGCCTGCCTCACCCCATGGGGGTCAATATGACCCTCATATTAGTTTAAAGGAGGTTAAATCCTCCCTTCTCCCCTTGCAGAAGTGGCTGCATACTGTCATAAGAAAACACTGGGGACAGGACAGCTATTGCTGCCCAATCACTAATCAAATGAAGGGGGGCCTGGAACAAGTCCCCCATGCCCACATGATGGGGCACCTATTTACAAAGCTAACTGGCCCTGTGAGTTGGAGCTATTAAACTAAAAGGCAGATCTTGTGTTCCCCCTCAAGACCCCTCCCATGTACTGGGGTTCTTAACTAAATTAAGCTAGGGTACCTATTGTTCCCCCCAGCCCATGTCCAGTGGCAGTGCGTGGGACCCCCATTTATAATAATTAGGGGTGCACGTGCATTGGTCCACGTCATTCCAGCACACCCTATGCACACATGTTTTGTGGGCGAAGGCATGACGTGGGCCAATCACAAGTAAAGGTATTTAAATCTCCATAGCCCTGTTCACTGTGCCCTTTTGTGGTTTCTGTCCCAGTACCCATTAGTGCGTTACTTAATCTACTGTGTTATATTCTAGTATTGATCTTGGCATTGTTACTGATCATTTCCTGTCTTGTTTGCCTGTCTGACTGATTACCATGTATCTGACTCTGGCTAGTTCTTGTTTTCACTGTCTCTCTGTTATCCTGACCTCGGCTCGTTACTGACCACGCCTTTTCTCGGTCTACGTTAAGTTCGGCAATTCTATGGTTCAGTTATACATTATTTCCTTGTTTTCTTCCTTGCTGTCCTAAACTCTGCATGTTGGGGTATTACACTGTGACACTAATCTACCAAAGAGGCAAACATTTTGTCAAATTACAGAGAATTAAAGGCAGTCTTCAACGCCCTGATACATTTCAGACCATGGATTTTGGGAAAATCCGTAAGAGTCCAATCAGACAAAAATACAACGGTCTCGTATATAAATAGGAAAGGCAGAACAGGAGTAAAAAGTCTTAGTCCCCTTTGTTAAGGGCTAATGTCATGGGCTCAGAGAGAATTAGAAGATCTGGCAGCTACACATATAAAGGGAACAGATAATTCAGTGGCAGACAAGCTCAGCAGAGCAAGGTGGTCCTAAACAGAGTCATCTCTTCATCAAGACCTATTCAATATTCTCGTGAAGAAATTCGGCAATCCACAGACAGACCTAATGACAAGAAGAAATCTGAAAATCCAAGTCAACATCCCTCTACAATCAAGACCGGCCAGACGTTCTGGACAGTATGTCCATCAAGTGGAGTCCAGATTTGGCAAACGTCTTCCCTCCAATAGCTCGATTCTCAGAGTCATACAGAAAATCAGAACGGACAGAGCTGTGGAGGTTGCTTTAATTCCCTACTGGCCCAACAGAAGTTTGTTTTCAGAATTGAAGACGATTTTGGGAGCTTCCAACTTCCCTGCCTCTTCTAGAAAATAAGTATATTCTTCTAGAAGCAATTTAAATGTGCTGATTGGCTGCGAGATTAATCCTTAAACATCGTGAGATTCAGAAAATCAGAGTGGATCTACTCCTAGGCTCCAGGAGAATATCTACATCCAAAATATACTTCAGGATATGGAAAAGAAAATGTTCACTGGTGTAAAGAACATCACTGCCTTCAATGGTCTCCTTCACCAGATACTATTTTACATTTCCTACAGGACGTTTTTTCAGCTGGTCTTAGTGTTTCCACTGTAAAAGTACAATTGTCAGAATTACGCCATTTTCTTATCCGAGATTTAGCATCTGGTTGCTTGATCAGAAGCTTTTTCAAAGCCATTTTAATTCTCAGGCCTCATCGTGAATCCTTTGTTCCTTCCTGGGATCTATCCCCTGTTCTCAAAGCATTATGCGAATCACCGTTTGAGCCAATGGGTAATATCCCAGACATCATCTTTGTTCATCGAAGGAACTTATCATCTTCAATGCTGACAATGTCATATTGCACCTTAAAGGGACACTATAGTCACCAGAACAACTACAGCTTAATGTAGTTGTTCTGGTGAGTATAATCATTTTATGCAAGCATTTTTATTTCAGAGAAAAGGCAGTGTTTACATTGCTCCTAGGGACACCTCTAAGTGGCCACTCCTCAGATGGCCACTGGAGATGCTTCCTGGCTCAGTGCTGCACAATAGGCAGCACTGCCGTTTAGCATTTCCACGCTCTACATGGGGACGCTGAATTTTCATAGAGATGCACTGATTCAATGCTTTTATTATATATGATCTTACTTTCATATAGTCAAATAAATCTTTATCCGTAAGGCCTGATGTCTTTTGAAGATCGGTAAAGTTTCTAACTTTTCCTGATGTAGTTATATCTTCAATGGTTTTGATATATTTTTCAGACCATGAGATTAGGTTAGTATCAGGTAATAAATCCCTTAATAATTAAATTCTAAGAGAAGGGAAAATATTTTCTTCTATGTCTAGTTTTCGTTTTATGTCGAACCAGTTTTTCACTATATGATTTAAAGCACTAGTTTCTCCAAGAAAATGTAACCTAATTTCTTGGGTTGACCACCAAAAAATTGAGGAAATATTCCTGTAGGGACCAATTCTCCTGGCTTCAAGTTTATACCAGCTTTCCTCTTGGGATGAATCCTGGAAAGTACGTTAAAAGAGTAGTTTGGACCAATCTTGTCAAAGATGGAATTCCTAGGCCTCCATCTTTTATTTTCTTTAACAATAATTTAGCAATAAATCCAGGTCCCTTTTTTTTTTTTTACATATAAATTTAGTAAAAGAAGATTGTAATAGATTGATCCAGTTTTGCAGAATATTACTAGGAATTAGACTCAAAATATAGGTGATTTTGTGTTGAATATATGCTTTTATGGTGTTTATCTTACCCCACCATGATATTGCTTTTTTTGTCCACATATTTCCTTTATTTATTTTTTTATCCCAAATTTTATTTTTAATCCCAAATCAGAAAAATATTATTTTGCTCAAACTTATCCACCTCTTTTTTATTATTCGCTTTTTGCGGCTGTTCGATTCCCGAACCATATAGTCCAAATACACGAACGGAGACTTTTATATCACATTTTACAAGGTTCATAGTCTGTGGGTAGGAGGCTGGCAAGCAGGCTCCTCCAGTAACTCGTGGCAAACTCACTTGAAAAGGGGATTTTGTCACAGAGAGATTAGCATAGAGTATGTGTTTTCTGATAGCTATATCCTGTGAGTTTCCTTCCAGCAGACACATGAAGCTGGGGAGGTATAACTGCTTAAGTGCTTTCTGTCGATAAGATTCTGTAATTAGGTCCATCATAATTGTCAGTATTGTCAGCACCAGGCCCAATGGGCTCTTAATCCGGTCCTGACTACAGGATAGAAATAATCTCATCCTGAGAGACTTGTTTTGGGTTTAAAGCTCTTGGAACTGTGGTTTCTTAAATCCTGCCCTTCTGTGTGTTACTGGGATAATCCTATATCGCACTTTTTGTACTGATACCACATATGGTGACAAGACGAATCCCCTCCCTACCTTTCAGAATAAATAATTTTTTGCATCTAATTAGAGTCCGTATTATTTCTTGGTATGAACGGACCGGAGAGGTATAATGGAGTTCTTAAATACTGTGAGTATATTAGGCAGCACGTTTACAGTCCCTACATGTGAGTATGTTTGTTGTATAATTAAAATGTTTTATCCTAAAAGCAGGGGCGTACTGGGAACTAAAAGCAGCCCTGGAAAAAAATCTTTACCAGCCCCATAATGCGTTGCACCAGCATAGTGTGCTGATATAGAGTTAGAAATGATAGCTTAAAATAAAAATTATTACTCCAATGTGAAAAAGCGCACTCATAGGCTTCAAAATAAACAAACGTGCAGATTTATTTTAAGCAGACGTGCCTGTGCATGTAATCAATGTTTCAGTCCGACTACCTTGACATATTAAGGAAAGCTTGTTAATGGGGCTGAAATGGTGAATGTATGTAGGGCACAACTGTAAAAAATGTTTATTTTGAAGTCCTGTGGGTGTCCTCTTCACTTTAAATATGTTATTGTGCTGGAGTATGCACCTAGCAACAAGACTGGGCCAATATCTGCTCATTACATATGGTACATATTAATGAAATTTCTCTGTGTATTATGCATATATAAATGTACGTATATATATATGTGTAAATATTATAGGCATAATTATATATATAACTAATACACACATTAATATACATGTCATATATATATATATATATGGCCCCCATGTGTGTCTCTTTCTACCTCCTGCCCCTTTGTGTGCCTCTTTTTCTCCCCTCAGTCCCTCTGTATGTTTCTTTCTCCCCCTCACTGCTCCTCTGTGTCCCATGTCTCCCCTCTCCTTCCCAGTCTCTCTCTTCCCCCATCTCTTTTTCCCTCCGCCTGTGTCCCTCTCTTCCCCTTGTTTCTTCCCTCCCCGCTCCTCCCCCCCATCATGCTCCCTGGCGGTTTCCATAATTCCCAGTACAGTATGATGATAGAGAGACATGCTCCCTCTTTCAGTCCTTCTATGCTGACAGATCACTGCTGTCAGCATTAGTGAGTGTGCCGCCGGACTGGCAAGGCAGCCGACCGGCCCGGTGGCACAGCATGGAACGCGGCCGGCCCCCTCAGAGTGTGCCACCGTTATCCCAGAAGAAACAATATTATGAATTTAAAAAGAAACATACTAATAAGAAAATTATAAATCTATACACTTCAATGACAATGTTAACCCCTTCACCACGGTGGACAGAAATATTCAGACATTTACTAAGATTAACGCCATATTGCCGCAGTCGCAGCAATTGTAGGGTTAACGCTGTTGCTGGGTGCCTCTATGTCCGAGGTAGACCACTAGCAGCCAATCGCGCTGTCCAGGCACATTTGATCGCTGTGACAGCCAGTCACAGCAATAACAGTGCTGCTGGGACTTCTGATCCGCCTCCCCCTACCTATGGCTGTGTGGGGAAATGGAGAGAGATGGATCATTCTGTAACTTTGAAAAAGTGGCATTGAGTTTGTTTAACCCCTTAAGGACCAAACTTCTGGAATAAAAGGGAATCATGACATGTCACACATGTCATGTGTCCTTAAGGGGTTAAACCTTCCATGTCTATGAAGGTAAAGATAGCCACCGGGATCCCCCAGGTTGCCCAGATATACTTGGGACTAGTGGAAAAATTGTCTGGGACCTAATTGACCTGTTACTAAACAAGGGATATAATTTGTACATAGATAATTACTATAACAGCGTCCCTCTTCTTAGAATTCTTTACTGTTTTAGAACTGTGACCTGCGGCACTATCCGAAAGACTAGTACAGGTTTCCCAAAAGCCCTGGCACAAAGAAAGCTTAAGAGGGAGGAAACAGCTGCTCTCTGCCAGAATGATCTGCTGACTCAAGGTTAAAGACAAAAAGGAGTTCATGCTAACATCCAGGCACAGTGAGCACACTCGCAGTTCACAAACTTGGACATATAATGGCAAAATAATGGCATTGTCAAAGCACAAGTTAAAGCATAATATACAACATATGACATATCTTGGAGTATCTGCTTCCACAAATGAAAGGCCTTTGTGGAGTTATTTGAACAGACAAATGATGCCCCAAAATAAGACAAAGAACCATTAAATCCATCTATGAAATCTCTAACCGTAGAAACTGAAATAGCCTCGTCTCCTATATACAATGGGAATATCATTGCACTCATCAGATGTAGCTGAACTACAGGATAATCTCAGCCAATCACAATGCTTTCCTGTTGGAAAGCACTGGATTGGCTGAGATTGTCAGATTCTAATAATCTCAACCAAGGACGTGTGCCAAGGGGGCAGAGCCAAACACCTCCCTGGCCAGTCAGCATCTCCTCATAAAAATGCATTGAATAAATGTCAGTCACACTGTGCAGGACTGCCCCCGGAAACACCTCTAGCAGCCATATGAGGAATGGCCAGTGGAGGCATCCCTAGACTGTAATGTAAACACTGCCTTTTCTCTGGAAACACAGTTGTGACGAAATGCCTTTTGTCACTGGATTTTTAGGTGACAAGCTGCCCTTTGCCCTGGCTGTTGGAGGAGCCTGAGTGCCAGCCTCCTGCCTCATGACTATGGCCCTGGGTTGTATGGCCCTTTACAAACATTATTTGGGCTTATGGACTTTTATTGTATGGTGTTGGCCCTTTAAAAACAGTGTATGGACATACTGAAACTTTTGAGACACTTTTTCTGCCCCTTTGAATTCATGGGAAGGTGTGCCTCTTCCCCTCCCCCAGCTCCATTGTTCTCCAGCAGGGAGTTGTCCCAGGGACACTGCCAGACCAGTGGGAACTGGTTTGGGCAGAAAAGCCATGCTTCCTTTGGTCACAAAGGGCTTCTAACTAACTTTTGAACTAATGGAAGGATTTGCATGATTTTTGGGTATGTTTGTATTTGGGATGTGCTGATTAATAATATGTGTATAGTTTTAGAGTTATGAAAGTTGGGTAAAAAGTGTGTTTTAAAATGTATTGATAATTGGGTTACTTCTCAGGCTAAGGGGAGGAGATGTGTGGGATGTAACCATTGTGTGATTGGGTAATGTATAATTGTCTGTGGGCGTCTCCCTTGCAGGGGAGAATTGCATAAAAGCAGAGTATGTGCCATTAAAGGTTCAGATCATCTTGTACCTTCATGAAGTTTCGGCTCATGTTTGGGGGATTGGAGAAACTACACTCTGGGGATTGCTATAATCACTATACTCCCCAGGGTATAATCACTAGGCTCTGCTAAGAGCTTGTTCCTGTTCCTGCTCTCTGGAATTCGGAGAGAGGTCGACCTGCTGGAAGCTGGACCCTGGTCCTGGGTCCAGAGTGGGTGGAGACGCCGAGACCCCAACCAAGCTGCGGCAGTTCGTGGGGTCTGCAGTGGTTATGGTGTCAGGCAGAGTGCTTGGAGTTCTCGGAAATCACTAGGAGCATCCGTCGGCGGAAGGTACCCGGTCGGGGTGCCAGTGGTTCCGTTACAACAGTGTTTACTATAAAAAGCCTGAAGGGAAGGATTCTACTCACCAGAACAAATACAATGAACTGTGGTTATTCTGGTGACCATAGTGTCCCTTTAAGTGCAAGGACAGGCTTCTGAAACTGTGTCCTTAAGGGTTTAAGTATTACTTTATAACATTTAAAATATGGCTATGTCTTGCTAAACCAGTTGATTGAATTATTTATAATTCGTGGCACACTGACGTTTAGGGCTGCCATATATTTTTTCCAGGGCTGCTTTGCATTCCCAGTCTGGCTCTGATTGCTCGTGGTAATAATAAAACACGATTGCAAGCAGATTATACTGCTGGTACACACAGCTGCTGTACCGATGATACTTACCCCCCTGTAACGCATGATGCTGGGGGAACTTACAGCTGTATTTGGCTTAACTCAAGTGTTTGCATAAACCATGCATCTGGTGTCACATATATCAGAACGAAGCGAAAACATCTGTATCTCCTAAATTAGAACAAAGATAACACGTCTGTATCGCTTAAATCAGAATGATTCTCTGCTCTGGTACATCCTCATCATTGGGTGTCTGGATCACTCCTTTTAGAACGGATTTTATATTGGAGATCAATGTGTTCGTGGATCCAATAAGTACACACCATGCTGGCCATGGGTCTGGGCTCTAGTCCCTGGATGCATAATATAGAAATCCAGAAGTTACTATGAACCACGAGCATTCAGTGTGTGAGCTGGGACAGTTGACATATCTCGTGCATGCAGTAATGTGCTCGACATTGCGGAAGTGGTGGGTCAGTGTGAAGAGGGAACATTGCATGTGGCGCGCATGTAAGCAGTCCCAGAGATCTAAGCAAAGCACCACATGTTATATAGCTTCTATAGCACGTTTACAGATTAATTGTAAATAAAGATTGGTGGTTTGAGGGGTGCAGGGCTCCAGATTGAAAGAAATGGAGGGGGCCAGGATTAGTTATTGCATAAACGGCAGACATGGGGACCTTGACTAGCTAGCGTTTGGTGCGCGCGCAGTCCGATTTTCCGTTCGCGAGCCAGTATAGAGAGCAGACACCGGAAGAAGTGCTGAGGGTCACGTGTGTCTGAGTTTGTAGAAAAAGAGCTCAGAGCCCGGTGTTTTGGCCATGTTACAAGTGTATTGTGCCATACACCTTTTTCTTTTATTACCTGGCATCCTGCTCACCAAGAATCCCAGGTGGGGATTATACCACCTACGCTGATTACACGAAGCGGGCTGTGAGTACATTTTATCTACTTTTACTCCTGGTTTATTATATTTTATACTAAGGGCACTATTGTCGCACTTTTTATTTTATTTTTGCCTTTTATATATATACCCAGCTTTTCCATGTGAGTAGGCCATTTGGAATTCTTTTTATACCACTATATTTTATTCTGAACTTATTACACTATTGGAACCCTTTTTATATGTTCCTGGATCCTGAACATCTTGGTGGTTTGCAAACCTGAGGACAAAAGAAAATGTAACCAGGCCCTCACGTATTATTACAATTTAGACTTTATTTTGGACTACTGACGTTACCACTGGGTACACCTTTTATTGTTATCTAAGGACTGTTTATTTTATTTTGATTGTTTAAATTGCTGCTATTGTGTCCCTTGCCTTTGGCGCACCCAGTCCTTTTTTATATTTGACAGTCTGAATATTGACCACTTCTGTGTATAATGTATTTAAGTTACGTATCAACCCATAAACCCCCTCTAGGCTGTCCAGCCTTTTAAAGAAGGAAGATCGGTTTCAATTCTTCATAAGGCTATCCCCTGAACCCAGCTTCGGGTGATCTAACATTTCCTGATTGTTTTTTTTTAAATGGCTTCTATAATTAAATACTATCACACGCGAGAGGTTAACAAAGAGTTTAATCAGAGAGCGACCATTTAATAAAAAAATAATTAAGTGGTGTACAAACATTTCAGTGTAAAAAGATCTTTGCGTAATCTGACGTGTAATGGGAAGGAGCATGATGTACGGTGTCGCGGCCCATGCTCTGCCTCTCATCCGATTCTTCCACTTCCCGCTCAGAAACGTTCAATCTCATCATCCTTGCCTTTGTCGCTTTGAATGTTTTGGACCTCTGGCCCTTTGTTCTCATCAGGTAAGGCAGCAAAGATCCGTACGTGTATGTATTTGGACCCTCCGACATGAATCTATGGGAAGGACAGATCATATTCAGTAGGCATTCTCCTACTGATTCTCTCCTAACTGGTTCTCCAAGACACCATACGGCCTCCCTACCGCCCTTAATAAATGCTTATTTTTCTCCCCCATCAATGGCCGGATTTGCCACAAGGCTTCAGGGCAGCATGGCCCATTCTCCTCCTGTTGGCCAGCACTGAATGGAGAGGCTCCACTTCAATAGCCCTGTATAATGGTTGGTGGACGGAATGTCTGCAAATTAAAAACAGCCTGTGGATTCTACTGAGTTGGATTTACAAGAATTCACTGAGCATTAACATGTTGAACAGTTAAACGTTTATTGTCTGAACCGTCATTTCAAATTCCTGGCCGCAATTAACTGGTTAACTCATTCATTACCTGCTCACTGACTGTGGTTTGAATTCTAACTGGAGCCAGACATTACAGCTTTAATCT